AGAAGACCATTGGTCTGATCCAGTATGGCCATTCTTATGTTCTTTTTTCCTTGTTAATGATCTGTGTCCTTATATTGGCACCCAACACCACAGTATATAAACATCCAATATCTACAAAGGCTAGGACCTCTGTCTTTAATCTAGCACATGGGGACTTTCATTTGAGCCATGGCTTGAGTACCTGCTACATACAGCCATATTTTCCAGAGTACTTCAGACCAGTTTCAACTTTTGGTTCATGATATACAACAGTGAAAAAACAGTTATCCTGTACCCTGCCATTTAAGAATAGTAATATACGTAGATTGTTTATAAACAATCCACAAAACTTTAAGTAAAATTTATTTTAATAAATGTCTTAATTTAAAAGAAAAACTGACAACCACCAAATCTCAATTACAACTTCCTTGCAGTATGTTGATTTGTTTGTTCTTGGTTCAGTGCTTGCAATACTCAATATCAAGTCATTTTCAAGACCTAATCAGTTTCCTTTTTATCATAGCCATTGTAGAGAAACAGTTTACATTGATGTAGATTCAAAAAAACAAAAACAAAAACACTTAGCGTGTTCATTGCCTCACATTTCTCTGTCAGCAAACTCACTTACAGCATGCTGTGCACCCTGGAAGATACAGACGCTGCCAGAGCTGGTTGAAATATTGGGGAGAAAAAAAAAATTCATGCAGGTTTTCTACCTTCCTCCTCAAAAACAAAAACAAACCAACCCAGAAAAATTACACATACTACCATACAAACCAACCCCAAGATCTGGAACATCTAAAATGTTTCCAAAACCAGATCTAGCCACTGGCTAAAACCAAGACAGGTGCACTACTCTCTTCCAGGCTGTACCAATACATGAAGAAACTGCGTTAGACTACCTGGTTAGTAGTAACCCAATAAAGCATGCTATAGGGATATATACATAGTTGGATTACACTTGCATCCTTGTTTAAAGTAATTCTGTATCCATATAGAAGTATTTTTCCAAAAAGTTTGCCAGTTGAACACGATCATGCTGAACATCTAACTGTGGTAGTTATTCACACTAATGGAACAAGCCATTACTTACCATCAATAATTTATTATATCATTAAGACATGTTCACAGCTCTGAAAAATTAACTAGCCAAATAAGACACACAGTTATTATTAGGGCTGTAAAGCGATTTAAAAAAAATTTACTGCGATTAATCGCGTCATTAATCACAGTTAAACAATAAGAGAATACCATTTATTTAAATATTTTTGGATGTTTTCTACATTTTCAAATATATTGATTTCAATTACAAAGTGTACAGCACTCACTTTATTTTTATTACAAATATTTACACTGTAAAAAACAAAAGAAATAGTATTTTTCTATTCACCTAACACAAGTACTGTAGTGGAATCTCTATCATGAAAGTTGAAGTTACAAAGTGTAGATTTATGTACGACCTCCCCCCCCGCCCCGAATTCAAAAATAAAACAAACAATGTAAAACTTTAGAGCCTAGAAGTCCACTCAGTCCTACTTCTTGTTCAGCCAATCGCTCAGACAAACAAGTTTGTTCACATTTGCGGGAGATAATGCTGCCTGCTTCTTGTTTACAATGTCACCTGAAAGGGAGAACAGGTGTTCACATGACACTGTTGTAGCCAGTTTCACAAGATATTTACGTGCCAGATGCGGTAAAGATTCATATGTCCCTTCATGCTTCAACCACCACTCCAGAGGACATGCAACCATGCTGATGATAGGTTCTGCTCGATAACGATCCAAAGCAGTACATGTTCATTTTCATCATCTGAGTCAGATGCCACCAGGAGAAGGTTGATTTTCTGTATTGGTGGTTCACGTTTTAGAGTTTCTGCATCGGAGTGTTGCTCTTTTAAGACTTCTGAAAGCACACTCCACACCTCCTCCCTCAGATTTTGGAAGGCACTTCAGATTTTTAAACCTTGGGTCAAGTGCTGTCACTATCTTTAGAAATCTCACATTGTTACCTTCTTTGTGTTTTGTCAAATCTGCAATGAAAGTGTTGTTAAAACAAACAACATGTGCTGGATCATCATCCAAGACTGCTATAAACATGAAGTATATGTTAGAATGCAGGTTGTTAAAAAAAAAAAAAAAAAAAAAAAAGAGCAGAGACATGC